TCAATGGTGACGATTTCGATCATCGAGTCATGCAACATGGGCCAGATGGAATCAAAGTTGAAAATAATGACACTCCGCACGTAGCGAACTCATCACAGTTATCCATCTGAAATCATGACACACAATGATACATTCAGAGCAGAAAACACCCTCATCAGAGCAGAAAGCACAGACAATCCGAGCCAAGGTTCTCTTTGGTGTTAAAGTATTCATTAAGGGTTTACAAGGAAGTGATACTAAGAGTGAGATGTGAGTGAGCGACAAGTTTAAAGGTAGATGAAGGAACTGACCATCTAATTTCTTCCACACTGCGGCGATGAGAACATGAGTCCAGTGCGGTCTCCTGGAGTATATCATGATTGACCAATCAGCTTTGAGCTTCAAGATACGCTCCAGAAGAACTCAGGGTAGCACCAGGGCGTCTATATAGCCATCGCCGCAGTTCCAGTACATGAGTTTATCCCATTTCAAGCAAAATGACTTCACTGGGGTTACATTAGCCAATGCAACCGATGATGAAAGTGAATTCACCTGTGATGGGGCCGGAATACCGTACGATCTCTCGAAAAACTCGTCAAGCCAGCCGAAGAAAACTTGTTTATCTTCCGGAGAAAGATTTGCCCAATCAATCTCCGGTTCAGCTGGAGTAGAGTGATATGACGGCGCTGGAGATCCTCGAGGAGGCAACGAGGGAACACTCGACGATGGTGAGTCCGCTGTAGCACTGCGAATAGAGGGTCGCGTTGAGCGCTTGATAGGTGGTGGAGGCGCCCCTCGTCCTGGAGCGGGGGGAGGTGGAGATATTGACGAACGAGAAGGTGAAGGAGATATGGATGACCGAGCTGAGATGCTAGCACGTGGAGCTGGAGGCGGTGGAGGCGGTTGCTTATTATATGGGTCCCAATTCGTGTTCTTGAGAGGTACACTGATTTCTTTGTCAACATCCAGCCCGAAAATAAGAAATACAGACATACCTAGAGTGTCTATCCCGGGTATTCTGCATCTTGGTCACGCTAGCATCTTTGGCCTTTGTTGCCTTTTCCTTCAGCTCTGCAACTGTACAACGTCGGTCATTGATCAAAGGTAGGAAAAAGAAACTGACATGAAGGCATGGCAAGTAGTTCGCGACGAAATGAGTTCGGTGGCTGTGCCGTTGTTTGGATTCCAGAGTTTGCACAAAATTATCGGCTTTGACTTCAACCACCATCCTTACCTGAGCTTGTATTAGCGGAGTCGACCAATGATAACTGTTTCACTGTTTCTTGTCAGGGTCTCCCTTCTCTAGATATTCTGTTACTACTTTACTTGTTTCTATCTTGACTCTCTACTCTCTTTACTCTCTTTCCGTCTGAATGACCACCGTGGTGCCCAAGACACCCCGGAAGGGTGCCAGCGAGGGACCAAAACTCCAGTCCACGCCGCAGAGCCGTGGCACTTATTCTGATGCTCCATTCAACCAAGATCAGAGGTGCCAAGCTTTGCTTTCGTTCTACGTTCAACCGCACCGCAAGGCTCATATCTACATAGGGCTTGTCGACTAGACAACATCAGGCTTGGTGGAATCGACCTAGAAGGCACGCAAACAGTTGAATTCGTGTCCCTGCTCAAGGCGTTGCTCGCGAGGATGTTACTCGGTGTCTCTACTGATGGGAAGGATACGGTGGCCTTGGACACAGCGAAATCCGACGTGAATCAACTATTTGACAAGATACTCAAAGATGCCATAGGTTTCTGCAATTCTAGTCTTGCGACGTCAGGAAAGACCTCGCCGCGGTCGAAGTTGTCACAAGAAATGAAAACCAACCTCAAGGAATTGTGTGTCATAGTTCCTCTTTTCAACGTGTGTACTGACGCCTCTTAGCTTCCAAAGGAAGTCCGAGACGCGTCCCTACGTCCCGATCTCCACCGCTATAAATACCATTATGCTTGCGTATGATGGGCACCATTTTGGCCAGCTACCATGCTTAAGTGGCGGTGACCGAATCATTGTTATTCCAAATGATCCCCTGGTCATCGAATCCAAGGAAATCAAGCGGGATTTACCGAATGCGAAATGCAAGCCCGATAACATCATTGTCCAACTATCCCACCTGCTCAAGTTGGACGATACGTGCGATTATCGAGCCTGGGTACAGTCGATTGAGACCGGGTCTAGGGAATGGAAGCGGGTACGGAAAGACGCTGACCAAAAGACAAGTTGGCTGGAGGTCCATTGTTCCCTCGAATTGAAGGCGCACAGAGTCATCGAATGTGCACCGGTTGACCAACCTATGTCCGAGAAACAGGTGTTGGGCGGCAGTACGTTCCTTGTTCAACTTCCAATTCTGATATCGATTCTGACTCTCTACTTGTAGCGTCTTCCACTCCTGCATCTGATGTTTTACAGTCTAATGACGCCAAGAGCGAAAGTGACTGTCGATTGGGCAGTCAAGCTTCGGGTACTTCCACTGGATCTTCCTCCCGCAGCAGTGAGAAGAAGCGTAGTCATGTGGAGGCGGTGGGGTCAGCGTATGCATCTAAAATGACGTCCTCGCAGAAGAAGTGCAAGACATCAGATCTCGATGAACGCTTTACCGCAGAGACTCAGTGCGCATACTACGCCATCGAGCGTCTCCGGGCGACTTGGAATATAACACATAGCATCGTTCTTTTACTTGATGGTTGTGATTCTTACCCTTGCGCTTTTTCACGAAGGTTGTTGACATAACATCCATAGATAACATGCTCAGCATTCACTGGTACGATGCCGAGGGCTGCATCATGACACAACCTATCGACATCATTGGACAACTTCCACTGTTTGTGGTGCTGGTTATTATTCTCCAGCGGTTTGACGCTGCGATGTGGGGATTACCTGACATTCAGATATCTCAAACGACAGAGAACAGACCAGTCTCCTTCTACCTCGAGTCCGACAAAACAGAAAGAACGCGTTTCCAACTCGTGGGACGCCGAACATTTGGTGCAGGTGCATGGTCGTCCCCTGTTCTTGACGGTTCGGAACAGTCCATCACTCCTCACGGGCCCCACGATACATCATCCAATGCTCCCATTACCACCTTGACGCCTCCCTGTCCTGGTTCCATGCAGACTCTCCCTATGAGGCGGCGTTGGAGTCGTTCAAAAGACCGGAATCCTCCGCCAAACACTTCATCGACGGTAACACATCAAGGTTACCGAGCATCCCCAGGATTGACCAGGGAACCACAATCTTTGTTCTTCAAAGCAGCGTGGCCAGAGAATCCACGAGATAGGGAGTCTGAGATCGTCGCATCGGTTATTCCTAGGGCGAATCAATATCTTGACGAATTGATGACGTACGTCCTTGAGCACATTCCAACAGTCGTTAGCTGGCAAGAGGTCAAGCATTCATCGACTGGCAACATTCGTCACCTCCTCGGTCTCAGTTCTGAGCGCCCACGCACCCGGCTCTGGATGGTCAGTCACAAACTAGACCCCATCATGGACCTTCACAAACTACCGAACGACCTCAAAGCACCGGCATTCTGGATGGCATTCTGGGAGCTCATCCGTTGTACGTTTTGTTCCTTTCTTGTTATTTTCCCCCTGACAACATGCTGATGATTACAGGCCACTATCTGCTCTGGTGCATCGGCATGGTACAAGGCGATATCAGTCTCAGCAATTTGATGTATGACACCGTTACCAAGAAGGCAATCCTGAATGACTTTGATCTGGCTGCCGTCATGAATCCTGGAGACATATCACCACAGAAAAGAGGTTTTGAGAGGACGGGGACGAAACCGTTCATGGCACTGGAACTGCTGAATGCCAAAGGTGAGGTTCAGCGGAAGTATCGGCATGACCTCGAATCCTTTGCCTGGTGCCTCCTCTGGTGTGCAATGGCTGAGCCATTCCCCAAGAAGGTAATTCATGGGTCACTGACAGACGCCTATGTTTACAAATATGTGATGGCTCATGATCGGAGGGGGACTGCTAAATCGGGGTTTGAACAAGTATGGAAGTTTGTTGAAGAATGGTTTAATGCTTGGTTTGAGCGACGATCTAAAGAGGAGACACTCAGGACATCGGCCGAGAGATTTATAGCAAGGGGGGGAGAATTTGCATTGAATGACCCATTGAGATGGGTTTTGCAAAGCAAGGATGAGGACGAGGACAGGAACTCCCTCAAGGTACTTATAGCAGTCGTTGATGAACACGGGCCAAAAATTCCCTTGGATGACCCACAATTGGACTGGGTAGAATTTGAAGTTTCTCGACAGGCATCATCGCCATCGACGGACGTGAATGTGGGGATTTGATGTCGTAGTATGCATCATAATTATTATTATCAGGGCACTATGGAACAGCACTCGGTTGTAATATACACGATACATAAGTAACATTCTAATTCTCCCTTTTTATATCGTAGTAGATACTGTTCGTAGTTCGCAGTAAGGTGCGGCATGGAGTAGACAGGCTTCATCGGCTACGAAACAGTAGCTCCTCTCTTCGTCGCATTTCCCCTCTATAGAGTCGTGCTATAACCCCTTCTTAAACTCTACTACCACCATCGTGAGCAAGGGCTTCGGTGGCGGGATTTATGTTCAAGGGTACTCGTTTACCCACGAGATTGCTAATTCTCGGTGTCAACGGCAGGCCATACAAATCAACTTGTGTCTGGACTGAGACGTGTTGGCTCATATCCGTGTTCGTGTTTAATTTCTTCTCAGACCGACTAGCGAGCCCGGTCTTTCACAAATAATAGAGACAAATATGTAACAGCGAGACTTAGCTCCATCCTCGATTTAATTCCTCGTACTTCCTTGCCGCAGCCGATTTCTGCAGCATTTCAGGATGTGCATGGGCGGCAGTAGGCGAACCTTAGAGGATGTTGCGATGAAGGAGGAAATGTCTGAGAGGCAGGATTGCCCAAGGGAAAACAGTGTGAACGACGTAGCTGGAAAGGTACGTAGTCCTGGCGCGCTCCAGTGCCTGCAGGGCATGATCACCCTGGCATTAAAGTGCACGATACTGTTGGCTTGATGGTCTAGTAGTATGATTCCTTGTTAGGGTAGTTTAGCTGATTATATCGAGGAGGTCCTGGGTTCAATTCCCAGTCAAGCCCATTGTAAGAGACTAAGGTTTCTTTTTGGGTGGCAGTCGCGAGTCACGAGTCAAGTTGTGGACAGTGGACAGTGGACTTCGGAGTCCGGACTGGAGAGGGATTTCCGTTTCATTAGGATTGCCGCACCGCAACGGCCATGGTAAGTATGGACATAAGGACCGATTTCGAAACCTCGTAGACGATCTTATTTGGAACTAACATTCATGACAATCGCTGGGGCTGAATTCCCTGAAACTTCCGAGAATCCTAGGACTGATTCATCCAAGGACCATCGATGGAGTCGCTTTCATGCCTAGTCCACACTTTACCCCATTTTATGCTATGAATGGCGTCTCTTAGATGAGGCCTGTTCAGATATAGACGTGCCATTGATCCCTTGCCAGATCATCTAAGTACTTCATGATTTCTACTACATACTGAAATGCTATTACGTCGTTCTGTCCGTTGATATGCCATGTTCATGTTTACCGGTAATCATTTTTTCTCCCTACATAGTCCATTCAAAACATCAGACACGAAAGTACCGCAGAAAAAAAAGGGCTCGCTTACATATCCGTAGCGCCCCTCAAGATCTCCTCGAACCTATTCCTCAGCCTCTGTACCTCTCTCTTCTCAGCATCCTCATCGCTCGACCCAAAATCCACCAAAAACGCCTTGCATTCCCGAATAAACTGCTCGAGGTCCCTCGCCACCATCAGGGATTGCTCCGGTTCGTTCGACCCTCGGGCTTTGGTCAGGAATGCTGCTGTAAGTGTTGATATAGCACCTTGGGCAAAGCCATTGAGATTGAAATTCGGGAGAATAGGGATGATATTACTGTACCGAGGATGGGTAGCACGATAGTAATCTAGTATTGGGAAGGCGTTTGGTCACTGTACTCAAGTCTGGAATAAGCGAGTCTCACCTCGCGTCCGGTAACAAGTGCTGATATGGCAGTAGTCAGAGAGCCGGCCAGAAGCTGTATGCCTAGCACAGGTCCTCATATCAACTTCCATTAAGAAGAGGGACCGACTTACCGATAGCAACGTTCATAGCATACCCATTCATCATCGCACGCTCCGCATACATCTTCCTCGCCTCCTCTGCCAATACGATCGTAGGACGCAGGCGCTCCGCTGCTGTTTTCATCTGGGTGTGCGTGTCTGTCTGCTTCAAGTGGGCGGCTTGGATCTGAGGACGAGAGAGCGGTGACCTACCTGAGCCTGAGGAACGATCCAGTCGAGATTTGGTGCGGGGGGTAGGGGTCTGTTGGCACGGTCGCGTCTCATCTGGAGTATGTTTGAAGAGTCCACACTGCGACTGGTATTGTTTATATGCTGGGCAGACGTGCAGGTTTGAGTGGGAGGGATATGAGTTGACTCCTGGACAATCGGGTCTGATGGTTTCGTGAACGTAGAGGGTTCGCCCTCGCGCGCCGTGTTCGTAGAAGCAGATACAATAGCAGCTGTGCTGGCAGTGGAGGCCGATACAGTGGTAGAGGGAGATGCAGAAGAGTTATGTTGTGTATCGGTCACTGCGGTCGAGGGAGATAAGATTGTCGAAAGAACGGGCGTCTTGGGAGAAGCAGAAGAGGGTGTCGTTACGATTCCGGGCGTCTGAGTCGTTTTAGTTAGTGCAGCTCTTAGACTATGAGATGGAGGCGTTGGTTGCGATGAAGATGGGTTGTTATCAGAGCTGTATGACTGCGGTAACGGCTGGATTACGGTTGTCTTTGTAGGAGCCGGCACTGCTGGAGTGGTCGATAGCGAAGAGACATTATCTGTGTTCGGAGTAGCTATAGATACTTCTTTGAGTGATTGCGAGAGAACAGCAGTAGGGGGTAAAGCGGGGGATGGAAATGTCGGGGCAAGTAAGTATGGTGAATCAATTCGGGTGGAAGTCGTCGACAAAGGGACAGCGCCAGCTCGAGGGTTATCAGCCCGCATAGGACGTGCATCCCTGGCGGGTGACTCTGACATCGGTTCACGGAAACCTTGTGTCACCAGGAGCGTAAAGGCGGACAGAGGTGTACACGGGCCAGTTGATATACTAACTTCTTAATGGGTTTCAAATTTCGGGCTTCTGTTTTAAAGTCGACTTCGTCAATGAGCTGTGAGATTCTCCGCTGTATCCGAGGACTTTGGTACTTTGACGAAATACGAGTGGTGTCGCAGAAGACAGTCAAGCTCATGGCGATCGATAAGGAGAAGGGAGTTCAGGACGCTACAGCTGACATGACATGGCCGGGAGGTCATTTAGAAGCTCTGCGGTCGGTTCCGCATTGAATGGCATGGAATCTTTGAGTGGGAGTATAGATGTCATGACTTGAATGCGGCGTGTTACCTATCGACTTGTCATCGGCGAACAGAGTCCTAAAGGAAAAAAGCACATCTGACCAAGGACAGAAGGCATTCAAGTTAATGATATTGGGCCACGTTGGCGTGACCTGCAGAAGTGTAGAAGCTCGCAGTCCGAAATGTCGACGAAACTTAATGTGCAGTGCTTCAAATCAGAAGGACGATAATTGAGGATATGTGCTACAATGGTTAACCTACATGATATTCAGAAGTATTCAAGGAAAAGAAAACGCTACCCACCTGGTCATACAAATAATAAAAATTAGAGCCGTTGTTACATCGGTCCCTTTCGCCCGTCAGCGCCTTGAACGTACATGCCAACATGAACTCTCGCAAGACGGCTGGCATTTTCTTCATTTACTGGTTTCAGTTTTATATCGGCGCGCTTCGAATGAATTTCAGCTAGAGTTCAAACACGAAGCAGAGCACTTGATCACCATAGCGAAGCATACCCCACGATATATCCAGTTGAAGACCTCCTTGTACTCTGGATGTGTCTTGGGAAGGAGATGCGTTGGAATGCTTCTAACGACGATTCCTTTGACAATCTGTCGAATGTTAGATACCGAAAGAAAAGCAACAAGAACAGAAACACGGACATCTTTGTTCTTCCTCTCTATCGTCGGCCCAACTTCTAGTTCCACCTGAGACGATTTCCTCTTCAGAGTCTTTGATGGTACTGCAGGAACCTTGAACTGCGGCTTTGGCGGGAAAAGGTCTCTGCCCTTTGCATGCAAGAGTAAGGGTGGCTTGCGAGGAGTGGGATCATCAGGCCGAGGTAATGAGACTGGTGGTGGTGTTATCCGTGCAGCCAGTAGCCGCAATGCATTCTCACCGACTGAAGACGCGTAGATAACAATGTTCGTCGCGTCGGTATCCCCAAGCGCGACTTGAACACCTATCGAATGGGTTTGCTCCGGTCGGAGGCAGAATATGTTTTGAAAGTAGACAGTGGAAAGGACGGCCTGAGGGTGTACATCAAGCACGATGCTCGGAGCTGCCTTGGCGTCGTAGTAGACGTCGGAGAGGTTGATGACGGCGACGAAGCGTATAGCGATGCCACGAAGTGACTCCAAGGCCAAGGCGAGGGGGTTTTGCAGCAGGGTCGTCTGTGCGGTGAGCATGGCGGAGAAGGCGATGCCGTCGAGGGTTACGTGGGAGTCTGGAAGCGCCAGGCTGCCTCTGTACACCAGTCTGCTCGACTCTCGAGTGGGCGAGCTCATCGTCGAGGATGACGTCGGAGGCCAAGTTCCATTTCTGGGCGTGTTTAATCACGTGCCTGCCTCAGACCTGGACAGTCACCATGAAGTTACCGCTCTTCGCTGTACCGCTGTTTTCTGCTCTCTACTACACGCCGGAGACGACACAGAGCTCGCCACGACCGTTGGTGCTTTGGCATGGCCTAGGTTTGTCATCCGCGCCTTCCTGAACAAATCTGACACCAGCACACAGGCGACTCATACTCGTCTCCTGGGATGACGCAATTCGCATCCTTGATTGAGGATATCCACCCAGGAATATTCATACACTCAATCTACATCGACGAACTCCAGGACAACGACCGCAAGGCCGGCTTTGTGCGCAACTAATCCTGTTCTTTTCCACTGCGTCATTAATCAGACTCGGTAGCCAGTACGGCAACGTGAATGCTCAAATCGAGCTTGTCTCTGACCAATTACGCGGTATCCCCGAGTTGGCAGGCGGATTTGATGCGATTGGCTTTTCCCAAGGCGGGCAGTTCTTACGGGCTTATGTGGAACAGTACAACGACCCGCCGGTCAACAACCTCATAACGTTTGGCGCACAGCACATGGGAATATCGGATATCCCAATATGCAGTGCATGGGATCTTCTGTGCCAGGTTGCCAGGCGTGCTACGAAAAGCGCAGTCTACAGCACTTGGGCCCAGGAAAATCTCGTCCAGGTATGCATCAGTTCTGCCAGTCCACCTCTTTGCTAAACTCACCTGTGCATAGGCTCAATACTTCCGGGATCCCAACAATCTCCCGACGTATCTCTCTGCCAATCATTTCCTAACCGCTATCAACAACGAACTCCCACCGGACGTGCAGCCCCGAAACCAGACCTACGCTCACAATCTAGCCTCTCTGAACTCGCTCGTCCTCGTCATGTTCCTCCAGGACAAGACCGTCGTCCCGAAAGAGAGTTCTTGGTTTGCTAGCGAGGCGCCTCCGGATGACATGCTACCAGGACAGGATGTCTTGTCCGACAAGAACATCATTCCTATGAAACTACAGCCTCTCTATCGAGAAGACTGGATAGGGCTGAGGGCTCTTGATGAACAAGGTGGAGTGGTGTTCGCTACCTGCGACGGCGAGCACATGCAAGTGGATCGCGCTTGCTGGGAACCATTGGTGAAGGAGTTCGTGGGTGAATTGATTGACTGATTGTTTTTTCTCTCTGTATCCTTTGCCAGCATTCTTCAGTTGTATATTATTGGCTGGCCTACCATGCTGTATCCTTGGTGTGTTATAATCATCCATCCAAGACCAGACTAAGGAACCACCGTATAAAGTCGCGTAGTGCGGGGATGAAAAGGGAAAAGGTAAGGCGCTCGGACCGTGTTTCCGGAACCATTCGCACTGCTCTGCCCTGTCCTACCCGAGCTACTAATACCAAGTATCTCAGTAAGGAGGATACGCC